TCCCCCGCACCTCCGCACCCCAGGAGGCTCTGCTGATTGCCCAATCCAGGCATCCCAGGGTCAGGGACCAGGTGGATGCTGCCCAGTTTCAATCCATCCTGCCGAGAAAGAGCCTGAGAATGACAAAAACCACCACCATTAACACCAAGTACAGGAGCTGAGCTTTTAATGCCCCAATTTGCCTTAGCCTCCGGTCAGGGCTGGGAGAGCTAGAGCTTCCGGCTTTTGTTATGTGAAGAAGGGCTCAGTTCAATTCCGATGCCCCAGAGTTCCAGCCAGCTTCGGAGCAAGGACTCTCCAGAATGGAGAATGCACTGGAGCTGCTGAAGACAGGCTCATCCAGGCAGGGAGTAGGAATCTGAGACCTGTGAACGTCCCCAGGGAAGGTGGGCCCACTCTTTGTTTCTAAGCTATTCTAGGCAAGGGTGACATTGGAGACTCAGCTCTTTATTAAATGTGGGCTGGTGAGCATGGCTTCTAGAAAGCTCCATACTGGCCCAGGTATGCTGTGGCCCAAATGCCGGGGAGGAGAGCACATGGTTTCTGGAAGTTGAAAGGCCTCTCTTCACAGGTTGCACTGGGGAGGAGAGGCCCTGGGCCTTGGCTCCAGACTCCAGTCTGATGTTGTTCTGTCAGGTCTGATGACTTCATTCTGCATTCACTCAACTGTCCCTCCCTGCAGACAAACCCCCAGGTCTGGCTGACACCTGGCTAATTTTTAAAAAACCTGCTGAGGCTGGATACTCGGGGGTCTGTCCAATCTCAAAATAGTCACTATCAAGAGGAGATGATAATAGTAATTAATTAATTATATTAATTGATGTTATTCATAACATTAACTGTAATATGTACACTCTACCATTTACAAAGTGCTTTAACACACACACACACACACACACACATCTCATTTGATCTTCACAGCAGCCATGTACGGCAGGACCAGGGACTCGGGATTCCCATTTTATAGGGAAAGAAGGTGAGGCCCAGGGAGGAAACAATTGCTCATGGTCATCAGCCATGGAGCTGCTGCTGCTGCTGAGGTGGTTTTGAGAGGATAAATATGCTCTCCCTGCCCATTCATCCCTTCATTTATTCCTTCCTCCATCTAGCATTTATTAAGCACCTACTGTGTGCCCCACTCTGTGCTAGACACTTATCCCTAAGCTGGGACACTTTTCCAGACCGCAAGAGTTCTTCTGTTCCTGAGAGACGAGTCAAGGGAGGAGGGGTACAGCTCCACCGGCCCCTGGGTACTCAAGACTCCAGGTCGAGCAGTCCTCGTCGAGTAGGGAGCCTCATTTTTCTCTCATTAATTCTTTGTTATAAACTCACGGAGCCTGTGAGACCCGGTTCCGACAGGCACAGGTCCTGGTGGGGCAGCTGTTGCTGAGGGTGAGTGTTGGGGGATGGGAGACTCCTATAGTCGGCAGCAGAGTCCTTGGCAGGGCTTAGGCTGGTGCCACCTGGCTGGTCTCCGTCTTGGAGGCAGTGGTGGATGCTTCGTCATCACCCAGTGGGTTCTTGCCACAGCAGAGGGTGGTGAGCATGCAGTTCCGAAACTGGAAGGCAAGGGGCATGAGTCAGGGTCAGGGTCCACTCAAAGGGTGTGCAGCAAACTGGTGTGGTTGGCAAGATTCGCCTACAACCCCTTCCCGCTCTGGCCCTCACAGCCCTCACTCCCATGTCAGATCTGTCTCTCTGGAGGGAAGTTACTAAACATGTGACCCCACGCAGAGATGCCAGGGACCAAACCCAAGGGGGCTTTGTCACTAATGACATTCCATGATGCCCTCTGTGTGCGAAGGGCTATCTGTAAATTATCTTGTTTAACTCAAGAGTTTGGAATTTTACCCCTTCTATGGATGAAGAAACTGAAGCCCGGAGAAGGGAAGTGACTTGCCCAAGGTCACACAGCTAGTCAATAGCAGACCTGGGATTTGAATCCAATATGCCTGACTCCAGAGACCACATTTTCCCCACTGGATCATGGATTCTTCAGAGAAACTACTGGTCTATGTTAAAGGTCTGGTTTATCCCTTTATCCCTCAGAATAATACTTTTTAGCCCCCCCCCCCCCCTTCCTTGATGGAGACTGGCACCATTCCATTTCCAGGCTTGGGACTTTGACCACTTGACTTTTAAAGTGAATCTCCACAACCATCTTATTTGAGCCAGCCCCAGAGTCACCTGGAGGGCTCATTAGAAATGCAGGTCTGGGTGGGGCCCAGGAATCTGCTTTTCTCCCAGATGACTCTGATGACCTGGGGGAGACCAACTGCCCAGTCCAATTTTGCAGATGGGAAGATTGAGACCCAGTCAAGGATGTGGCTTGTCCTCCACAGGCAGTGCCTGTGGCTTGAGGGACCTAGACCCTCCCGCCCCGCCACCTGGCACCTGCTTGTTCATCATGATATAGATGACGGGGTTGTAGATGGAGGATGACTTGGCAAAGAATGCCGGGAGGGTCATGAAGATAGGGCCAAAGTTAGAGCCCTGGTGGGTGAAGATGTAGAATGCCACGCTGGCGTAGGGCAGCCAACAGATCAGGAACGCGATGACCATGATGATGACCATGCGAGTGACTTCCTTCTCGGCCTTCTGGGTGGTGGCTGACTCCTGCTGCTGGGCAGCTGCCTGCAGAGATACAGAGCCTGGTGTCCAGACTGGGGTAACTCTGGGCCAGGGGCTGGGCTCCACCCATTCAATGCATGTGTCCCCGGCACCCAGCACGAGGCCATACCTCCTTTACTGTGAAGACCAGCTGTCCATAGCAGAAGAATATGACGATCATGGGGATGGTGAAGTGGACCACGAACATGTAGATGACGAAGGACTCGTTGTTGACCTCTGGTTTGAGCGTGTAGTAGTCAATCCCACACGAACACTGCAGGCCCTCTGGGATGTACCTGATGACCGGTGGAGAACAGGACAGGAGGGGGCATAACGGAGACCCACGTGTGAGGAACTTGGGAACAGGCCTCATAACCAGAGTGACCTGCCATGTGGCTGGCCTCGCTCTGGTCCTCACTTTCCTCTCGCACAATGGGGGTAATAAAATGTCTGCTTGGCTGTGTGACAGTGAGGATCAAATCAATGGAGAGAAGGGGCTCAAATGCGCCTTGTGAAAACAGTGTTGTTTCACTGCTGTTTAGTGGCCTTGTTATCAGGACACAACTCAGTCTCTGGCCCCACCTCTCCCCTGGCAGCACCTGCACACACTGGCCGGTGCAGGGTTTCTCACCAGACCCAAGCCAGGCCTCAGGCTATGCAGGGCAGAGTTGGTGGGGGAAGGGAAAGAACCCCAAACTCTGTATTTGAGGTAGTTTGTACAAACTGGGGTCTTACTAACAACAAGGTGAGAGTATTTTCTAGCCCTAAGATGGGCACGCAGGGTAACAGAGATCTTTGCACAAAAAAGGGGGAAAGGGGGAACAAGAGACCTCTGGGGTATGTGGTTAGGATTTTTCAGTAGTTCTAGAGAGGGGGTGACATCAGACCAACCTCAGAAAACATGGAGTGTCCGTTGGCTGCGCCTATGGGATGTAACTGGACCAGACTGGAGCAGACAGGGAAAGAGGCTGGAGGGGGGTGGGCTCGAATTTAGCAAGGGGCAGAAAAATGACCCTAGGGAGACTGAGGAGGAAAGGGAAGAGAGTGGGAATTTCCTGGAAGCAGGGGAACACGAGGCCTCTGGGAACTCATAAAGTCACCGGTCAAGTTTCCCAAACCACTTCCTGCCCTTTCCACGGATCTCTCATCTCAGACAGTGGCCTGCAGACTGCACAGGACCTGGGTCCCAGGGACTATAAGGTCATCACCTGCACTAGGAAGGCTCAGTCTCCCCAGGTGCTGAGGCCCAAGGTCAAAGGAAGCTGCCCACAGGGCACTGGACCAAAGAGGATTGGAATCCGGCCCTGGCTTAGTTGAGGATTAGGGGCACAGCCAAGGTGAAAGGTTGGGCTTTTGGGATTCTCCTTGACATGGGGACTCAGGAGGTGGGACCAGCCCCACAGCAACATTAGGGTCTGATCCTCTCTTCCCCTGGCCTAAACGCCAACCCCAGAAGAGTTGCCAGCTTGGTGCCTGGAACCAGACAGCCCCAGGTTTGAGTCCTGGCCGGGGGACCCTAAGAAGACCCCCCGAGACCCATCCCTTCTGCTCAGTGCCATTACCTGGACCAGCCGGCTAGTGGGGGCGCGGCACAGGCCAGTGCCATGACCCAGGTGAAGGCGAGGCCCATGATGGCGTGGTTCTCCCCAAAGCGGAAGTTGCTCATGGGCTTGCATACCACCACGTACCGCTCGATGGCCAGGACCACCAAGGACCACAGGGCAATTTCACCTGCAAGGCAGTCAGCTGTCAGTCAGCATGCCACTAGCCTGGACTCACTCTGTCTAAGGCAGCAGCAGCGCTCCTCCTACGTGGGAGAGGGCAGCTAGGAGGGTAGCTTGGGGTAGGCCCGGAGTGAAGCCTCAGGCTGGAGCGGGCTGAGTCACGGAGAAGGAGAGGGAAGGGGGTGCAGGGCCGAGGGACCGGCATGCCAGGGAGAGTGGAGTAACACACAGAAGTTTAGCTCAGTTAGAGCTCTGGGTTCATGAGGGACACAGAAATCAAATTAGGGGTCATGATTGGACTGGGAACCCTGAAGGGAGTTTTTACAGGAGAATGTGTCCTTCCTGGGACAACAGGCAGAGTCCCTGCTGAGAGGCATTGCAGGGGCAGGGGAAACCTGGAGTTGGAAGTCCTTCCCTCCCTCCAGAGTGATGGCCTCTCCCCCCGAGGGAAACAAAATAACCTGGGCATGTGGATCCCTCTGCTAGGAGCCAGGGAGATGAATAATGTTTGGCTCAGAAGACAAAGGAAGAAATAGTGATGGAATTCAGACATTTATCCTACATATCACTACAGAAACTCATAGAATTTATCAACCTAACTGGGCCACTTCTCAGAGTGAAAGGAACACTAGTAATTATTCCAGGACAATAGTTGTAAATTAGGACCAACACTGCAGAGAAGTGCCTGCCTGTATGTGGCACCCCTGTCTCACCCCTGGCTCTGGCCTGAGAATGGATGATCTGTGGTCACTGAAAGTGACACCCAGTGATGGCCAGAGATTCTGGGGAATGGGGCTGAGGCAGCAACCTGGACACACAAGGGTGAGAGAAGACGGGCAGCAGAGCCATCCTTGTGGCTGGTGCTAGGCTCTCCCCATCACCCTGGCTTTGTAATAATGACCACTGGTGTCTCCTGCTTGCCTGGCTGGCTGTGTGTCCCGGGGGGACATTCTTGGATCTGAGCCAGGAGACCTATGCCCCGGTCACTGCCCTGCCACATCCCTAAATGAGTCTTCCCCTCTCCATGTCTCGGTTTTCTCATCTGCTAAATGGGATCTATTGTCTCTGCAGCACTCTCATTAGTTTTCCGGTCAAAGAAATATTTAAAAGCATCTTTCAAAGCTACAGGTCACACAGCTCTCATGCCTCCTTATGGGAGGGGTTTTTTGAAGCAGATGAGTTCCTCAACACAAAAAGCATTCATGTATGGCAGAGAGGCTGGAGGTGGGTTGGGAGGGACTGAGCCCATGGCCCCGCACAGGTAAAATCCAGTGACTGGAGACTGGGAATCTGCATCCCTAAGATTATGGGTCGTGAGCTGGGAGCCCTGAGCACAAGGACCTGTCTTGTCCAGCACTCTCTCCAGTGCCTGGCATGGGTCTGACCCAGGGCATCTATTCTGAGGGAAATTGAACATGGCCTGAGGGGCCACATAGAAGTGGGCTTGAAACACAGCTTTGGCCCTGCCACGATGTGACCCCTGCAAGGCCCTTGACTTCTCTCATCCCCTTTCCTTGTTATAAAGCAAAACAATGGCACCATTCCAAATGAGATAAACAGTGCTCAGTGCCTGCCCTCCCCAAATGGCAGCCTAGATCATCATCAACAAAGTGTTTGTTGCTTGAATAAGTGAGAGCTTTAGATGATGCCAATGACTGCAGAGGGCAGAAGGCCTCTTAACCCCATCCTTAAGCCTGGGCTGTCCCCAGACACCTCCATGACCCCGACTCCTGTGCCCAATGCCCACCCGCACCACAGCTCATACCGCCCAGCGTGGCAAAGAAGCCCTCCAGATTGCATCCTGTGGGTCCAAAGATGAAGTATCCATGCAGAGAGGTGTAGAGGGTGGTGGTGAAGCCTCCAAAGACCATGAAGAGGTCAGCCACGGCCAGATTGAGCAGGATGTAGTTGAGAGGTGTGCGCAGCTTCTTGTGCTGGACTGTGACATAGAGAGTGAGGAAGTTGATGGGGAAGCCAAGCACAATCAGCAGAAACATGTAGGCGGCCAGCATGGAGAACTGCCAGGGCTCAGCCAGGTAGTACTGCGGGTACTCGAAGGGGCTGCGCACCACGCCTGTCTTGTTGGAGAAGGGCACATAGAAGTTGGGGCCCTCCGTGCCGTTCATGGCTGAGGTCCTTGTGGCTGCGCCACGGGCAGCTCTGACCCGAAAATGCTGCTGGGGCCTGAGCTTGGCCACGCAGGGCTCTGGCTGAACGACTTCAGGCTCTCACCCCCCCATAGGCCCTTATGAAGACACCTCCCCTCCCTAAGCTCCTGGCTGAATCAGCACCTGGGAGATTGGGGACATTATTAATCATATTAATTCCCAGTGCTACAACTAGGGGCCTAATTGGCTTCCCAAGAGGGGCCAAGGTGACTCCAGGTGGAAGCCTGGGGTTGGGGAGGGGAGGTGCTGGGGGCCCTAGGAAAGGGGAGGATGCCTGCCCCCACACTTCTGTCCCCCAGGAATTTCAGCCCATCTCAGCCTGATGGCCTTGGCCTGGCATTGGGACCTCAGACTTCCAGGCCATTACTCTCTGGCTTAGTGTGAGCTGACTTTGTCTTCCTCCTGATTGGACCATGAGCTCCCAGAGGGCAGAGGCTCTTGTTATACTCTGTCTCTCATCCCCTCACTCAGCCCCTTACCTATGCCTTCCCCACCTAAGTCACCTCCTGGCTCATCCAGTTGCTGGACACTGACACTAGCCCATCTTGCCAACTTCATGAGGGCTGGGGTCACATCCTGCCAGACACACAGCCTGGCATAGCCCAGGAGCTCAAGAAATATGTTGCATTGAATGGGAATTCACTTGCTCAAGTGTTAATCAAACATTTATGTGTAGGCCACTGGGGATACAAAGATTGAGAAAGGAGGAACTTACAGGCTGAGGAGGACTCTGATATGGGAAGAACAAATCCCAGCCCAGGGAGGGGAGTCAGCCTGCTTGGGGGAGGCATCAGGGAGGTGATGTTTGGGTCTTTGAGAGCACTTTGCCAGGTTGCCAAGTTGGGAAGAGAGCACACACTGAAGACAAAGGCCGGGCAGAGGCCTGAGGCCCACCTGGGGTGTGGCTGCACATGGGCTGGGGCCAGCTCTGATGCCAAGCTGGGGAGCCTGGCTTTATCTGAGAGCAGTGGTCAGTGGTTTGGGTAGATCCCAGGGACAGAAATGTGGCACGAATGCCCCCATAGATGGATTGGAGGGAGTAAAGATGGAGGAGGGAACAGGGAAGGGAGTGACTGAAGCAGGGAGGGGACAGAGGCTCTCAGGGATCCTGAAGCAAGGCCTGGCATACAGGAGGCAGATCGTGTACCAAGTCCTATGCTGGGCACAAGATCACTGCAGTAAGCGAGGCAGGTATGGTCCCAGCCCCCTGGGGGCTTCAGTGTGAAGGGGAGGCAGACCCTGGAAACAGAACTGGTTGGATACTGCAGCACACAGGGCATGTCTGAGGATGTCTGGTCAGGCTGGGCTAGGACAGTGGTCTTTGGATACCGTGTGACAAGTAACCCCACAAAGGTGGGTCCCAGAACAGCAGGATGAGCTTTGGCGCTAAATGGAGGCCTGATATTGATGGGCTCCCGTTATCTGTGACAGGAGTGCTATGACACCTCCTAAGAATAAAGGTAGCTGGGAGTGTCTGGCATGCAGGGTACTTGATGACCATTGTCCAGCCACAAATGTGTATTGACCAATTTTCTTGGTTCTGGGAGACACAGTGGACAAGGAGGACCAAGGCCCTGCCTGCAGGAAGCGTTTCATTACAAACAAGTAATGAAGCAAAAAATACATATATAGGAAAAGTTCAGATCATGATCCACTCCCAACACACTGTTATCTAGCAGCCCAAAAGTTCTCTTTGAGAAGGTAAAGTTTGAGCTGAGAATTCAATGATGGAAGGAGGCAGCCCTGCCAAGGTCTGGGGCTGGAGACATCTAGGCAGAGGAAACAGCAAGTGCAAAGGCCCTAAGGCTGGAAATTCAAGGCCAGCAGGAAAGTGTCCTTATCTCTGAAACTTTTATCCCTTAAGCTTTCTGACACCCAGTCACTCTTCCCACCTGGGCTTCCTAGACCCCTCTGCTCAAAAAAGTGCCCCCTTCCCTCCAGCCCTCCTGGGGCTCCAGACTCCTGCCTGTCCAGTGGTGTCAGGGCGCACACGAAAGGCTGATAAAATGTGTGTTGGTGGGATGAACACAGAGGGTGGCATGGCAGGGTGGGTAGGGTGTGACCTCTTGTAGTTTAAGGCGCTTGGCCGAGTGATTAGGCCCAATGCTAATGAGGTCAAGGTGGAGGGTTTGATTCTGACCCGGCCTGGCCCCTGATAGCCAGATGGAGGGAGGAGCTCTGGATTCCCTGAGTCAAAACCAGCCCCCACACAGCCCCACCCTGGCTGGGCTGAGCCATCACCCCTCCACCTCAGCACCTTCCTGTCCCATCCTTATGCTTATGACAGCCTGGGAGCTTTTAATCATGTTCTGCTCATGTGTTTTTGGTCCATCTCCCAGGTGTAATGTGAGCCCACAAGCGTGGGCTGGGGTCTGTCTTGCTCACCACAGGACCCTCAGAACCCAGCATGGTGCCCAGCATGTGGCAGGAGCAGAATCATTTCCCTGGAACTAGAGAGAGCTGGGGTTCCTGTCTGTGTTGTTCACTGATGTATCCCCCAGGGTTTGGCAGGGAGTAGGTGCTCAACAAATATTTCTGGAATAAGTGAATGTGTCTAGGTTACCTCAGGAAGTACTTCCTCTCTCTAAATCTCAGGTTCCTCCCCTGTAAGAGTTGAATAACTCCCCCCACATGGCGAGGTGATGGGGAATTAAAGGCATCCCTGAGGTGATGGTGCTCTGTATCCCATAAGGCATGACAAAGAATTTTTTTAAAAAACAAAAAATGCTCTTTGTTCAGAGCAACAAGCTCAGGGAGTGAGCTGAAAGGTCATTAGAAGTCACGTACTCTGACCCTTCCTGCTGCATTTTCCATGTGGGGAGACTGAGGCCCAGAGTCAGCAGTGAGTTGCCCAGGTCAAATGACAAATCAGTGACAGCCCCAGCTATAAATGCCTGGGGACTTCTCCCCCAGCACCAAATACAGCGCTCAGGAAAGACCTGCCAGTTCTTCACACCATGGTATAAATGACAAAAAGAAGAGAAAATGTTGTACTGGGTGGTGAAAAAGGCCCTGAACTGAGCCACACAGGCCTGGAGCAGCAGTGGTGGCCCTGAGGGCAGGGGGTGCCACTGGCTGTGTGTTACCAGGAGAGCCTGGGAAGTTCACTTCACCCCCTCTCTGGGCCTCAGTTTGCTGGGCCTAGGAAATCTCAGGGATCCACACCTGTCTACAGGGTAAGGCCGAGCTGCTTTCCCTACCAGGGCCTGGCTCATGGACCTTCGGACCTCACAACTTAAGGTTCATGATCCTCCCTCTTTGGGCACAGCCCGTTTATACCTACCTTTTCATTCAGACTGAGGCTCTGCAGCCACACAGCCAGGGTGCAGCCCAGCCTCCTCCCTTCCCTGTGCCTCAGTTTCCTACTCTCGTGCCTGTCAGTGATCAGTGAATGCTGCTAAAAGTGTGATCCTCTTCTGAATCTCACTCAGGTCTCAGCTCATGGATCACATCCTTGGAGAGCATCTCCCACCCCCAAGTCTACAAATGAGCCCCCTCCACACCCCTAGTTCATTTTCTACTCACTACTCGTTACTATCACCAACAGTCCCATTTGTCTTCTCCCTGACTCTCTAGAATGCAGAGCTGGCCCAGTCTCTTCTTTGCTGTATCCTGAGCTTGCAGCCCAGAGTAGGTACTCAATAAATATTTGTTGAATAAATGAACAGCTCCTCCTGGCCCCTGTGGGGAGGTCTCACTTCCCTTTGAACACTGAGGAAATATGCTCAGAGGGTTGAGGTTCCTCATCAGAGCTGGAATTGAACCCGGGCCATCTAATGCCTCAGCCAGAGCTCTTTCATCTACATGTCAGGCGGTCCAGAGAGGGACACAGAGCACGCCAGTGGAACAAGCCTGAGTGTGGGTGACTTTCTGAGCCACTGCCCCCTTGCCCTCTCTCTCAGCCAGGCTGAGAACAAGCTGTGAGGAGCTGTGAGTGATGGGAACAGGGGGCCTGGGTTTGGCTGTCTCTGAAGACAGACGTAGCCACCTCAAGGGCTTCCTGGCCCAGTCCCTCTGGGAGCCCAGAAGCAGGGCTCTGACTCGGCCATGGAGGATTAGGGTTTAGCAGGTGGGGCACAAATAGCTCTTAAGCCTCTGCATGGAGGTGCTGCTCGGTCAGCAGTTTTCTCTTACTCCTTCCTGCCTCCCCTCACTGTCTTAGCCCCACCAGGCTGGGTGAGGCCTTAGACTGACCTGAGAGTGTCAAGAGGGAAGAAAGGAAGGGGACAGAATAACTCTCCTCCCCTTTCTCCCTCCTTTCTTCCTCCCTCCCTCTTTTCCTCCTACCCCAACATTTGCCAGACACCTCTGTGCACCAGGGCTGGGTGCTTGGGACACTGAGATGAATCCTACACAGTTCCTGCCCTCAGGGAGCTCCTCAGGAAGCAGCAAACAAGGGAAAAACTAATAACCATAAGTGGGAATTTGCTCTCAGCCCCAAGTGCTGTGGGGACACAGAGAAGCAAGATGTGGACCAGGAGGGAACCTGGGAAGCCCTTCAGCCTAGACAGTGGGCTAGCTGGGCCAAGCCCCAGGGAGGGAAGGGCCAGCTGGTGTGGAGAGGCTGGGGCCCCAGGATGATGGGTGGCAGGGGAAGAAGGGAGGACCAGGAGTAGGGTGCTAGCTGGCTGGCAGTGAGGGACCCTGATGGTTGCAAGCAGGAGAGGGGTGTCATCAGGTTTCCATTTTAGGATGATGTTCTGAAGTCTGGGTGGAGGAATATCAGGGACTACTGGGGTGAGTGTCTGGCCCAGGGTGAGAGCCCTACCCAGTGGTAGCCTCTTTTCTGGGGCTCCTACTTTTCCTAATGGCAGGACTGGCACAAGTGGAAGGTCACCTGGTATTTGCAGTTGGCAGCAACCTTGGAGAAGGGGCATCTGTCCACCTGTTCAAGAGCCACAAGAGACTCCTGGCTTCAGTAGCCTTGCTGGGGATAGATGGAGACACACAGCTGGCTGAGGTTAGGCTAGAGCCAGGCCCACTTAAAGTCTGGCCTGGGGCTCTTTTTGGGCCACCCAATTCTCCCTTCCCTACTTTCTCCTTCCA